ACATTCTTGTTGTTTTCCTACAAAAATATTTGTGAAAATAAGATATATATATATATATTATCTTTTTTAAATAAGATATCATTATATTGTACGTATTATTATTTTTCCTTTTGTTAGAAACACCATTTCTTAATGTACGATTGTAACTATACCAACCTTGAGGCGGCCGTCGCAAACTCCATTAACAGCCTTGTAAGGATAATCTTTACTGGTACCAAGACCACCATTGTTAACTAGGTACTCATAGGCAGTCTCGACTTTGCCTCCTCCGCAACCATTATTGTCTTTGTTACAATTAATCAAGTCTTGCTCAGACAAAGTGACTAACTCTCCTGTCACGATCTTGTTTAACCCTTCCACTGCTCCCACAGTCGAGAACGCCCAACAGCTCCCTTCACAAAAGAACAAAATACACATGCATGAAGCTTGTATACTTTTTGACAAACATACCGGTAATGTTATAATGGTTACTAGCAAGTGTCACTTTTTGGCTTTAACTAACATGCACTAACGTTTTCAAATCCGGCGTGGCCCAACCGGTGAGAGTGAGAGAATAATTTTTTTTTTTTTTTTTTTGCGAAAAAAAGCGAGACTAATATACATAACTAGGGTCCAGAAAAACATATGAAATGTAATAACATATAAGATAAACGTATTTCAATATATCAGCTTCAACAATCATATTCAGTTTAAAGGGATTTTATGTTATAGTAACCAAAAATAATCCCTACCTATATACAAAAAAAGTAAAGACTTGTAAGCCATGCAAACTTGGTGTGTAAAAAACATGCAGTTCTAATAAGCCATGCAAATTGAAAAGTGTCAACACCCAATTATGACCATGGATGGGTTAAAGAAAATAAAAAAGTGCCAAATTTTATTTTCCAATATGACCTAAAACATACTTCCTCCATTTTTTTAAGATAAATTTTCTAGAGTTTTTACACATAAGAAAAACTGATTTTCAATCATTAATGTATAGGTTTTTGCAATAAAACAACTTTTTATAATTCTCAACCAATAAAAATCCAACAAATACAATTAATGTTTCTTGAGAATTGAAAAAGTGCATCAAAAATCTAGAAATTTTATCTTTGTGAAATAACAAATAATGTCTAGAAAATTCATTTTAAAAAACGGATGGATTAGCATTTTAAGTGGAGTGTTAATTACTTATACATAGCCGACTCTATATACTTGTTTCTTATCACAAGTCATTTGATCAAACTTTACTATATACATATCAAATAAACTCCCCTATAAATACATGTACAACGACCATTGTTAACATTCTACTTTAATTTTTTTTTAATAATTCTTTAATTATAGTCTAAACAAAATGTATAAATAGTTAGACCAAACGAATCGATTTATAATCAGTTAATCACTACAAACTTACTGCAATCGCCTTGATCTTTGATTTCAGTCATAGCACCTTCATTCCTCCAGTCAACGGACTTAGGAAGCACATCACCAGCACTAGTCTTGTATCGGTCGCTACTAGTCATGAAGACGTGGTGCTTATGTGGTCTTGGATCAGCCCCATGACAGACTTCATTGTACTCATGGACTGACAAATCAGCAAACCGGGTCAAACCGAGTCGATAACCGAGATTCTCAGCGTTCCGGTTATTGATGAAACGGAGGTTGTCCTTGAAAATCGTCAAACGCCGTTCCTTCTCGGCAACGGAGTCGTACACTTTCGCATGTTTGATCATCCATGACTCGAAGATCAACACGGCGTCAGCGTCGAAACCGCTCTGGCCGAGGCCGGCACCAGCGGTCAAGTGGTGGTTGTCATCGTAGGAAACGACGGACATGTCCATGGCCATGGCACAAGATGCAATGACCATTGCTAGTAAGAGGATCATCATTACTGATTTGGCACTACCCATTTTCTTTTTGGGTCTTAAACTAATGAATTTTTGATTCGTGTTTGTTATAAGTTTATTAAACGAAACAAACAAAAAAAGGAGAAGAGGTTTTTGTGTTCTTTAATTTTGCCTAAGACATGACATTGTTATAGTACTCAATTTTTAAATTTTGTGTATAACATGGACATTGGAGTGAACAAGTGTACAAACCTACTCTTCCACGTATGGGCGCGAGTGTCCCAGTAATATGATATCTCACCATAAGCCAAAAAGCATAATAATAATAATAACAAAAAAGAACGAAAGATAGTGAAATGTTTGAGGCAATTGTGTTTCAATTCTTTGTTATAACTTTACGGGTCTGAATGGAAGGTCATGTTAGAGTAACAAAACAAGTGGAAATTTTTTTTTATTCCCATTTACTTTGATTTACTCTAATTGTCTACCAATCAGGTAGAAAAGTCATGTCAAAAAGTTTCCCCGCTAAAAGTAGCGTTATCCTTCCCTTCACATTTTCTTAGATGGAAACATTTTTTTTCCACCATTTTACTCTAAAAAAGAATTTCCTTCTCACTTAATTACTCTTTCCTCAATTACTCTCAATTACGCTAAAGTTTACCATTCATACCCTACATAATGGCACTATTCTCACCTTAAAATCAGTGATACGATCCTTTTTACCCCACTTCAATTATTTCTCACTCAGGCCAATTTCTTGATTGTCAAAGTTTACACGTTAAACACGTTCCCATGCATAATTCTAATGCACAGTGCACCCCACACGAGTCTCGTATATTTGATATTTCCCATCAATAAATAATGCACAATAAACTATATAGTATTTGGCCCAGTAACCTCCATTATTTATCGTCACAGGTTGGCTGGGGGGACCTTAGCCTGGGGCCAACGTCACAATGAATTACAAAAGCTTTAGATTTATTTGCATGAGCCTGAAGTGGGACATGTAACGCGCGTAGCTGTTTTGTATTTTTGAGGATTATAATTTGATTAATTATCATTCATGACCAAACTTTTAGTGTTTGCACATCTTTGATTATGTTGGTTTATTATTTTATATATAAACGGATGTGATTCTACCACCATCTCTAGTTTGTTTAGTACTAGTATTCATTTGTTTTTTTCGTCAAAGATAAACAAACAATTTAATCGAAAATCGAAATATATGGGCCAAGATAAAGTCACTGTTGTGCAGGCCCAGTCTATTCAGAGTCTTGAGTTAGTTACGAGAACTTGTTATTGGGCTAAGTCGATTTGTTACTAGCCCAAACGTCACGAGAAGAAGTTGTAAAATTACAACGAAAATTTTCATTCTTCTTCCTTGACCCTTCTTTGACCTCCATTGTTGTTAAGCTTCTAAGCTCAATCTCAGTCACTTGATTTTTATGCTTACAATTGCAATCAAACACTATGATTTTATTCCAAGATTTGTCCTATATGTGTCAAATCCAGAGAAAAAATGTTGTGAATAACTGAATATACTGAAGTATTAGATTTCTAAAAATAATAGATAGGAAAAATTCCAAAGAAAACGCGTTTAATTCTCTTTCCTTCGAATTATATTCGTAGCTGTCATTATGACGGCAAACCATAGAGAATTCTCAGATTTATTAATTCTTCCTCGCTTTATGTTAAATAAATTGCTTTTCCGACAATGATACTTCATTGAAGATCAGTGAATTATGGTCATTCTAAGATATAACAATATTAAAAATTTCTATATACGTGTTATTTGGGAAATTGTAAGAAAACTAGCGGTTACAGTTTAATCATATGTTTTCCTTGTCTAATCTGAGTGAAGCTACTTTAGCACATACGACTTTCCCATAAAATTATAAATCTCTCACTTATTAAAGTAAATCAAAGGAATATATATATATGAAATGGACCGACCATAAAATGATTCAACCGTTTTTAGTATACTTTTCTAACAGTCATCAACTGTAAACTTTAACTGACCAACCATTTTAGAGTACACTAGTAAGTAGTATCACTACCGTAACGATCCCTCTCCTCATGTCCAGCAGAATAATTAGGTATGCTAAAATCCTTACTATATTTAGATTCATGCTTAACTTTTTTTCAACCCAATTGTTTGTTGGTTAACTATTATATTCAGTTCAAAAACCATAAGAAAAAAAAAAGTCAATCAATTTTAGGTTGTACAATAGATGATCGCACTTAGATTCATGCTTATTTTTATAAATCAATTAAATCTCTTAGTATATTACATGCTTATATTTTCTTCAGCCCAAAAAAGGTAATACTAGTTTCTGTTGGTTAACTATTATATTCAGTTCAATTCTCATAAGAAAATGAAGCCAACCAATTTTAGGTGTTACAAACTTACAATAGCAAACTTTACAAAAAAGTTGAACTGTTACCGGTTAGAAATGAACTTCTCACATAGGTCACCGCACAATCAATTATATAGAAAGTTATGCATATTGATCTTTGAGTTCATTCATATGAACTCACAATTCTATACATCAAACAAAACAATAAACTCACAATTCATTTAAAAAGTATAAAAAACAGAATTTATTGGAGGCTATTGAAGAGATCAAAAGCGCACGGAAGCCAATGAATATGCGTGACTCGGTCAAAGCCTCATCTTTCTATTTTTCTAGTATTACTTTTGCTTCCATATTTATTTATTATCTTTTCTAGCCAATCATAGTTTTTGTATATTAATTATCTTATCTTTCTGCTTCTGACAACAACGATATTTTCAACCTGATAGAGACTTTTTCCGCAAGAGGTTCACAATCCAAAATTTGATCATAGTGACACAAATATGCTTAAATATGCTCATTTGTGGAAACTAAAATTTTAAAAAGATAATAACATTGAAGAAAGAAAGAAAAACAATTATAAACTGAAAAAAAGAAAAAACCGAGAAAGAAAGAACAAGTCTCTGGTCTCACTATCAGACAAAACATGTCTTCCCAAATTATGATTTTCCGTCCTCCCATATAACGACTTTTGCTCTCTGGTCAAAAATCCCCAAAACCCTCCTCTGATCTACTCTCAATTTCATTACCCTTTCCTCCAAAATTCTCTCTTTTTGCACAAATTTGTAGCTTTCCGTTAACCCCTGCGTTTTAAATGGCGCCGGTGACGGAGCATCAAGGTTCGTTCCTAAGTCGAATCAGCCGTCGCAATCAAATCGTTTCCATGGACGTTAATCACGAGCAAGAGCTCGAGGAACTCGAAGATTTCCAGAAACACGTAGCTGAGCGTTTCACGGAGTTACTAACTCCGTCTAGCATCACCACCGCCGCAGCAGATTCGTCGGAATCCGACCCGATTCTCTCTATCCAGTGGCTAAGGAAGCTTCTCGATGCTTTCATGTCTTGCGAATCGGAGTTTCTCTCGGTCTTAACTTCGAATCCGGCTCAGATCTCGAAATCCCCGTTGGATAAGCTTCTTCCGGAGATGCTTGATCGGATTGTGAAGGCGCTTGATATCTGTACAGCTGTAGTCAACGGCGTTGACTCGGTCAGACAAAGCCAGCGTCTTGCGGAGATTGCCGTTACGGCGTTAAAACAGCACCCGTTAAGCGACGGGAGCGTCAGGAGAGCCAAACGTGCTCTCACAAGCCTCCTCGCCGGCTTAAACGCCGATTATAAAGATAAAAACGGCGGTAGCAGCGGCGGTGGTGGAAGCGGTAGGAGGGTAACGTCCGAGCAATGGTCCTCGTTTGGCCGGCGTAGCGGTGGAGGAGGAGGAGGAGGAGGAGGGTGGTGTGTGAGCAAGAATTGGTCAGTGGCGAAGCAGATTCAAGCAATGACGGCGAATCTAGTAGCGCCACGTGGCGGAGAAGCGTCGCCGATATATATAATGAACGGTGTGATGGTAATGGTGATGTGGACGCTAGTTGTAGCGGTTCCTTGTCAGACAAGTAACGGTCTAACTGTTCATTTGCCGTTGCCGAAGAATCAGGTATGGGCCAGCGCCGCCGCGAGCATCCACGAGAGGATCGGAGAAGAGCTGAAGCGGAAGGAGAAGCGTTGTGTTGGTGGAGGATTGATGGATGAGATGCAGAGGATGGAGAGGATTGGGGTAAAGCTGATGGAATTCAGTGAAGGGTTTAGGTTTAGTGGGGGGGAGGAAGTGGTGGCGGAAGTGGCGGAGATGGAGGAGATTTGCCGGAAAATGGAAGAAGGGCTTGAAGGGTTACAGAGACGAGTTAGAGAAGTGTTTCATAGGTTGGTGAAAAGTAGAAGTGAGATTCTTGAAGCCATTGATCACAATCATATCTAAATCCTTAAAGATAGGAGGAGCATTGTTTTTCTAACTCTGTTGTGAAAATGTAATCTTTGAAGAAAGGAAGAAGAAATTACAGGTTTTGATTGTTTTGTTGTTTCACTAAAAGATAATCTTTGATGTATATAATAACAATTCGTAATTACAGATTTGCATATGTATTTTTATTTTTTCTAATATTTTATGGTTACCTCTCTATTCAAGTGTTATTTTAAATTTGACATATCTTTTTCATTCAACATGGATAATATATATTTGCATATACTGTACCTAACATCTTTTTTTAGAAAAAAATCTGAAATAATGCTAATATTTTGAAAAACAAATATTAAATGTTGAAAGCAATATCAAAATATATTCGGTTTTATTAACACCAAAATCTACTTGGAACTAAATTACATTTTTTTCTTAATTTAAAATAGAGGTTTCAGTTATATTGATAATCACTTAAATATTGATAACAAACATAACAATAAAAAAGATTTATAAAATTAAGACTTGAAAAGAAATGTGGTAGTCTTTGGGGTCGATTTCTTTTTTTCTTAGGAGTTTTGTCTTTGCAATGCAGGAGATGAATATCCATTCCATGTCCATACAACCTTAAATTTGACATATCTTTTTCATTCAAAATGGATATTTTAAAATCACATCAAAATATCATTAAATTTCTACAATTACATTATCGATTTTTACCTGAGCTTATTATCACAAGCTTTCGAAACAATTCATAGAGTAACATGGGAGGTCCTCTCGTTGCAGCTAACAACAATACTCTCTCTAGAACTTGGCAGCCTAACTCTACCTTCCTCCTTCAGAAGAATCTACCTATGTTCCACGTTACGCAACTGAGGAAACTGCACCGCCATCTCATGAAGATGAACTCCTTGAATAGCATTTCAAGTAACTACCGTTTAGTATTGTTAAGGAATTCATTTTTTTAAATTAGTATATACATAAAAAGAAAAGAGTTGTCAAAAATTTACTTAACAAAAAATAAGTATAACATAAACAAATTCTAAGTAAAATATATGCTAATCATATGACAATATTATCATATTAGTAATATGTATTCATTTTTTAAAATCATATGCTAGAGATTGAGAGCGCCTAATGATTGATTTCAACATTTAATATTAAAAAAAAAAAATATTAGCTTTATTTCAAGATTTAAAGACAAATATATTATATTTATGTAAGGTGACAATATGACAATATCGATTTTATAAGATGTAACCTTAAAATATTTATAAGAAATGAAAATGTATATGCCTATATGGTCACCAAGTCACATTCTTATTCCTGTAAGTGACATATCTATTTTCACACTGAGGTTTATGTGATACCTAAGTGATGTTGCTTGGACAATAGATTTTGTGAAGATTGGATAAGTATTTGCAGAAAGAACCATCGAAGGTAAATGATTCATAGCTCTTAAGTAAACACTCTTACAAAAATAGTTTTACTTTTACATTTGTGTGTCAATCGGCTATACTCGGCAAACGCTGATGAATCATCTAAACACTAAGTGATTACTAGTGGGTCAATGGGCTTTACTGAGCCCAATTTACATTTGCTCTTTCGGTCATGCATGCTACCTACATCAAAATGAGGAAATCTTAAGATTGTTTCTTTTTTCTTTGACATCAAACTTAAGATTAGTTATTAACCGTAGAAGTTTGATTCCAAACGTTTTTTCATTATAGTATATCATCTTTTCTAGTCAAAATTTTTATTTTATTATACAAATGATCTGTCATAAAATGTTTTTGTTAGATTTAATAAATTTTAATGATATTCTTAGAAAGTTAATAATCTAGAGAGTAGAGATTTTAATCAGTAATGCAAAGAACACATTTTATTGGAATCAGATCTTAGTACAACGATATTACAAATAGGAAAGTTATTCGAGAAATCACAATTTTACCACAACCATAAATAAAAGAACACAAACACCCAAAAAGAACTTAAAGGTTAAAAAGGGCTCGAGAGCAAAATAAATAAATAAACATTTTCAATTAACCACTGCACATGTTCTTCGGATCTCTCCATCCGACCCGGTTTTGACACCAATCCTTCCCATTTTCTCCATTGCCGTCGCAAACTCAGCAAAGAACTGTTGCACCGATCCTCCCGCGAATCGTCTGACCTGAGCCAACGCCGCAGAATTCATAGTCAACGCTGCATCAGACTCAAAAAGTCCACGACGTTTCAAGACGAGCTGGAAGTAGCTAAGATCAAAGGTGTTTCGGCTACCGGGATCCATCTCAACCTTTGTGGTATTATCTGCGATAGATAAACACCTCCGTGACTTCAGATTGGCTGCATATTCGCTGTCCAGCGATGGATCTTGGTCTCCGACGCCGGTGAAGTTGAAGAGACGGTTGGAGAAGGAGGAACAATGAGACACTCCAATAGTGTGCGCACCTAAAACGTTAACGTTAAAATTTCATCACATTTATACCAAACGGCAACGTTTAGGTCCTCTATGTCTTTGGCTCTCAACCACAATTTTAGTCCGGAATTACTAAACCGAACCGGAGAAGTCAATTTTCTTACCGGATAACAAGACGAGGTCAGTAACATCTAGTCCTTGGTTTCCAAAAAGGGTTATAAGAGTCGTGAAGTTTCCGAAAGGAGGAGGAATGTTGTTCGCTGCCTCGGTGGCATTAGAGATTCGTCCGTCTCTACGTCCTGTCGGAACGTTCCATGTCGGTCCACCCTAAACCAAAAGTAACCAAGATCGGTTTGTTAATGAATCAGACTAAACGAGGTAATTAAAGTATTATCATACTACTACTTACAATGGCAGCAACCGAGTCTCGAGTAGCGAGGGTGATGACATCGGCACAAGAGACGATTCCGGGACATTTCTTCTCCAGAACAGACTTCACTAAATCGATAAAGTCGAAACCTCTAACGGTTAGATTCGGAGGAGCAACCTTCTCGACTTGTTGGTTGCTTGATGTCGCGTTGATCAAGATCGAACCATCACAGCCCTATACCAACACCAAATACGTACGTTTCTTTTTTTTTACATCATATACGTATGTACGATGAAAGAAATATTATGATTATGCATTCGTTAAAAAGTAAAAAAATAAAAATAACTTCTCACAATGATATACCAACACACAGTTTTTTTACATTTTTTTAGTTTATGGATAACTATGTACTGAGTGTATGTATATGATAATATATGCAAAAAAAAATGATAAATAAGCTTAATATGGATGAATTTATAATTTATAAAGTGTGGTTACGAAAATAAAGAATACCCGAACGAAGCAATCATGGAAATGCATCCTAATCAGGCCAGCAGCTAAAGAGGGTACATTCTGAATATGTTGGTTAACAAGACTTTGTACAATCTTTTCTGCGTTAGGGCAAGTTTTGTCGTAGAACCCTAACTTCAACTGAGCTTCTGAAAAGCTCACAGACCCTAGAATCACAAGTATCATTACAAGAACTAATGCGAATCTCGCCATTTTGGTATGAAGACACTTAGAGAATTTGACTCGAAAGAGTTTGGAGACTCAGTGTTCTCAAGTGAGGATCATATATACTGTTGGACATGAGAGGTTAAAGCAATGAGAAGAAGAGAACAAGAGGAAAGAAGCTAAATAACATGTTCTATTTATTCCTGTTCATGTCTAATTTCAATTATCATAATCGAATGAATATAGCCCCGTCTTTTCTTTTTTGTTAATTATCACTTTTCAGTCAATTTAATTATTATGCTTTAAATAAAATACGGATTAGTTATGGTTGATATCGGCATATATAGCTGTAAATGTTTTTCATATTGGCTTGCCAAATTGAATTGAAACTCTCGTTTCATGTTATTCATTTTTTTTTTTTTTTGCCAACTCTCGTTTCATGTTACTAGCTGTAAATGTATAACAAACCGAGCATTCCAATTGGCACTTTGAATATCTTCCATCTCTCTTTGTTTTCCTATATAATTCAGATTTTAAACTTTAACCCGTTTTTCATTTAAGCTTATACAGTATTTTAATTTATTAACATTCTCGTATATATAATATATTCAACTTGGCATGCCAGGACACTACAAAAATTCCAAAGCTATCTCATTAGAGTCTATGAATCCTTTAAAAAATCGATGTTACGTACGATGGCTGCTTTTACTATAGTATAGTATAGATAGACTAGCTAGTCTATCTATACTGTAGCTCATAGAATTAAAGGTTACGTAGATGAGAATTTCGATAAAAAAATTGTGTCGTCGAGAAATTCGAAAAGTTAATTAATTGTAGTATTTGATAGACGACAAATGATTGCAAGCATCATGTATGTGACATAAGGATTTTTAACAAAATTTAAGCTATTTGCAATATACATATCTAACCATTACCAAAAAGAGAAGAAGGTTTTAAAAGTGGTTGTTGATTAACAACCCAATTAACAAACAACAACTAATCTTGACGAATTTTGGTTTCCATGCAAAAAAAAAAAAAAAAAAAAAAAATCCACATAATATGAGTCAGTTACTTTCAATTATCAACTAACATTCATCTTGATCAACTATTTGTCGTTAACGTTTATGTAGCTTATTAAGTTTCATCTAATTCCATCCTGTAACAAATATTTTTTTGACCATAGAGGCATCCTGTTACAAATATCCCTTAACATCTCTTTATTATTAATTGAGAAGTATATTGGTAATTTTTGGACCAAAAAACCAGTCTATTTATAAAGAAAATCTGTTTGGCAACAGGTTTAATAAGGGGCAATTTTGGTTTTAATCGACTGAGTTGACTCAGTAACTCGGGAATATCCGACCCGAATGTCTTGGTTTTGGGATGACGCGGATCTATTCACTTAAATCAAACCGTGTTCGTTGCTTTTTTTTTATCAATTTGGTTCTATTAAACCAAAAAGTATTTTCTGCTAAACCAAAAATTGAGAAATGGAAACCCATCGATAATGCCATAATCAGAAAACTTTCACTTTTCCAGATCTAAGAACATCTGCAAAAAAGAAAAATTAACATAATGATCTATCGATATTATTAAACCTTGATAATCAAGAAATATGATCGATAGAAACCCTACATAACTACTACTATATAATACGTGATGCCACCAACCAAATCTCCGTCGAAGCTTCTGTACCTGAATAGATCTAGAACAATGATGGAACAATCATCGCTTGCTAAAAGCTTGAGATGAAGAGGATGAGGGAGCAATAGATCTTCATAGCCTCTCTTTTTTCCAATTATATTCTAAAGCTACTGCTTTTATGAAATCAGCGTCGCTGGAAATCGGGTACCAGCAACTGAATTGATCGAGAATTGATTCAAAATCTAAATTTTTGAATCCGGTAACACTGCGATCCGGATTATACTCGGATTGTTGAGATTTTGATCGGGGAGGAGAAGGAGCATGTGATAGAATCTGACGAGTAAGAATTTGAGATTTAACATTCATACAAAAAAAGGATATGAGATTATAGGAAGGAAATCGAGAGTGCCGCCGAGATTGCTGAACGAGGAGATTAGATGAGATTTCCGGGAATAGTGATGTCGGAATCAGGTTTTGCAGAGTCGAGGGAAGGGAAAGGAGAAAGAGATGGGGGTATTTTTGTAGTTTGCCAATTCACTAAAAAAAGTCAAAAACTAAACATATAACTATTGAGATTTGAACCCGTGTCCTGCGACTACAAAATGACAAAGGAAACCATCAGACCAAAGTAAGATAGAGTTTAATATCTACAATTATTTACTATTTATTTGTAGTGCTCGATATATATGATCATTTATTATTTGTTTTTAATTAAGGTGATGATAATTAGAATACTTCATTTAAGTGGAAAAGTCGTTTATAATTAAAAGTTTCAATTTGTTAATATTTAAATTATGTATTAAATGTTATGTTATCTAAAACAATTTTTATATGATTTTATGTAGGTCTTGGACTTCAGGTCGGGTACAGGTCATGTTTCTAGGGTTTTGGGTTTTCGGGTTTAGAGATATAAAAATCGTTCGGTTTTTTTAAAATTTTGGTTCGGGTTTTTACGGTTTTTCCTGGTTTTCGGGTTTTAAAATTTTTACGGATTTCAGATTTTTGGATTTATTAAAGATATAAAAACCGGAACGATTTTGTACAAGTTTTTTATAATGTGTTTAAGTTTGAATTTCGGTGAAAGTTCCATATCTAATTTTATGTATAGTGTTTCACTATTTATAATATTATCATTATTTTTTTCACCGCACTTCAGGAATGTTTAAATGTTTTAGTTTGTTTTAAAAATGAATAATACATACTTATTTCTAATTACTTTATGAATGACTTAACTCATGCTATTTTACTTAAACATTATTTAATTACATGAAAATTATTGGTAGGATTTTATGACCTGATACAATATGAGGTTAAAGTTATAACGGTTAAGATATTAGATTTTCTTCACAAAACCGCAACATCACACCGCACAAACGTGCGAGTTCTCTACTAGTTATTAAGTATTTCATCGCTTATCAAATGTGTAAATGTTGAGTCTACATGTATAATACCCCAAACCCAAAACTTTTGATAGTTTTTACATTAACGAACGTAAACATTTACATAATATGGTGTAAAACTAGATAATTCATGGATAGCTCTTCAAAAACAAAATCTTCAAAATCGATCATTTTTAAGTAATTCATTGGGTAAGAACACTTGCATCGCCAATTTCATTATTTTAAGTTGAAAAGTAAATATAATATAGTTCAAAATTCAAATGTTGAAACTAATTAAAGGGGTTGTTTCACATGTAGACCCAAAATTGTGGTCAAATGCAAAACTAACCTCCTGTTTTTTTCATTTTAAGTTTGTCCAGTTTTTTCCAATTAATTACGGGAATGCCATTACTTTTTCGATTGGTAGACCGATATTTAGGTCTACCAGATCTGCTGAAAGACCAAACACCCCTCATCTTCTACACTTAATTGCCAAAAAGCCATATCATCAATGTTGACAACCACCATTTTTACCCAATTTGGAGCTGTTAATGCTCTGAAAACTCACTTTGAGCTAGCATTTCTCCTTCTTTCATCTCACAAACTCTTATTTTTCCATTTTCTCTCCATTTTCATCCCAAAAACTTAAAAGAAAACTCAAATCTTGGGTCTTGGCATTTCCAATTGTTTAGCTTACAGTGATGACTGGAACTCGTAATTGAAGACATAAATTGAAGTTATCAGCCCTCGAAGAGCTTTCTCCGACGGCCAAGTAACTTTTCTTTCAAAATTCTAAGAATTTCAGTTTTGGTCTGCGAAGGTAGACTGAATGTAGGTCTACCATTACATAGTAGACCTAGTTTAGGTCTACTGGTCAACGCAGAGTTGACTGTACCATTTCCTTTGCAAACAAAAAAAATGAGTGGTAGACCTACACTTAGGTCTACTCCACGTGGAGGGTTAGTTTTGCAATTGATTGAGAAAAATGTTTTTTTTTAGGTCTACCTTGTCGGTCTACTCCACGTGGAGGGTTAGTTTTGCAATTGATAGAGAAAAATGTTTTTCGGAGGTCTACCTCTTAGGTCTACCTAAAAAAAAAAGTTGGTTTTGCCGTTGACTCAAGTTTGACTTTCCTCAAAAAGGAGAGATTTTGTGACATTGAGGTCTACCGTGTAGGTCTACCATCGGTAGACCGCAGTTGAGGTCTACTGGTCAACGCAAAAAACTGAGGTCTACCACGGAAGTCTACCCGAGGAAAGTCAAACTTGAGTCAACGGCAAAACAAACTGTTTTCGGTAGGTAGACCTAAGGCGTAGACTAATTCAGAGGTCTACTTTTTTTGGTAGACCGATTGAGAGGTCTACGTTTTCTGGTAGAGACACGGTATACGAAAAAGTCAACGTTTGGTCAATTGCAAAACTAACCCTCCACGTGTAGTAGACCGACAAGGTAGACCTCCAAAAAAACATTTTTCTCGATCAATTGCAAAACTAACCCTCCACGTGGCCGTCCACGTGGAGCAGACCTAAGTGGAGGTCTACCATGAACGTCTACTCCGAACGTCTACGTTTTAGGTCTATTATTATGTGTTTTTTAAAATGTCGTTTTCCTTTCAATATATCAAATATTTTGAAATTTTCTCGAACAATTAGTTGTTTTTATTTGTTTACTTGCTTCTGTGTGAGTTTGAAATGTTCTTTCGGCGTAATTAAGGTTATATTCGGTTTTCTTTTGAATTAGGTAACTAGCTTATTTTTCTGGTCGACCAAATTGTGGGTCTACCTTGTCGGTCTACACCTTCTGTCTACTAATCCATTTTGTGATCTGGTTTATTTTTGTTGCAGGTAATGGTTTGTCTAGCTTCCGTTTATGGAAAATGGATGGTGATGGAAGACAAGTCATGGCATTTTGAGATGGACAAAGGAAAAGGAGGGAGAATGTTCTACTTACGGGATGGTTGTACACATAAGGAGCCTCTTAGAATGGAACAAGCTGACTATATGTTGGATATGGAAGCAGACATGGTGGAATTATCTTATCAATGTGATGCTCCATCAAATACCCTCAGACTTTCCTCATATGTACATCACCAACGGGTAGGTTCATAGCTTGATAGAGTTTATAGTTGTTCGAAGTGCAGCAACCGGGACATATCCGCCTTCATTGCGTAAGCTAATGACAACTCACAGTGTGTTCATGGTTTCTGTTTTTTTATTACATGAGTTTTATAAAATTGGATTTTGAACTGATGTAGATGAACAACACAGAGATAGACTGAAAATAAGGTCTAATTCGGAGAAGTAGACTGATAATAAGGTCTACAAATGCAATCTACAACTGAGATCTACGTAGTAGATCTACTTTGTGCTATTTTCAAGTTTTTTATGTAAGTTTTCAGTTAGACTTAATCTCTTTGAAGAAACAAAACCTATATTAATAATAAGTCATGTATTGATCTCTTTCAATAAACAAAATTTGTGTATCAAATAAGTGCAAATATCAAAAGAGATCATGACAATAATAATGAAAGTTTTTTATTAGAGAAGCAAAGTGTTACAATCAAAATTGAAAAGAAAAACTGAAATCCAACAAGTAACATGAGGCCTACTTTAAAAAGATAGATTAAAAATAAGGTCGACGATGAAGATCTACGTAGTAGAAGGTCCACACCAGCGGTCTACGTAGAAGGTCCACACCAGAGGTCTACGTAAAAAGTCTACAGAACCTTTTTCTTTTGGAGATTGTTATTCCCATAGAGGAGAGGCCTCTCATCAGCAGCTTCTGTAGTAAGACCTTCTCTGCTACAAGTCAGAGTAATGAAACACAAATCTTAAGTTTAATGAAAGAAATAAGACTAGAAATTGAGATTTTTCTGGAAACAGAAATAGAGAATTTCTCTAAACTTTGGAGCTGATTTGCAGATGAAATATACCTCTGAATGGACAACTGAAAGAAGATCTGAAAAGTTGGGTTGGAGATCTTCAAAACCGCATGTAGATCTACTCCTGGTGACTTACGAATCGTCAGGAAATTGCTTCACAAAACCTTCACAAAAATAAATTGATATCCTAAAACAGATCTGACGTCACAAGAAAAAATATCCATAACTCTCTGAATATAACTCGGTTTACCGTAATTTTGGATGTTATGGAAAGCTGAGAAAATGATCTTTCCGATGGTACCAAAATCAGCTTCTGATACTTTATGAAACGGTTGGAAATCGCCCCGTAATTGCTGGAGGAGAGAGCTGGCGGGAGGGAGGGTCGTGGGAGTCAAGAGGAGAAGTCTTCTTGAGCAGATCTGAAGGGGAAAAAGCCAACTGCGGCGGTTCTAGATCTGGATCTGGAGGACACAGATGAATGGTGGTGGTTCAAGGAGAGGGAGGCGCCGTTTGAGAAAAGAGAGTTATTGTTAAAGCTCAAATCTACAAAGAAAAGAGAGTTTAGATCTGCAAAACCAACAAAAAGAAAGGGAGCTCAGATCCACAACCAAAAGAAACGAAGATAAACATGTTATGCATAAGGAGATTCTCCTTCATCCTGAGGAACCAAAGGAAGAACCTGCGAAGATCTCATCGGCAACCGCCGCAGATCAGATCTCAAGCACCGATGGCTCCACAGACGAACGCCGAGAGAGAGAGAGAGAGCGAGAGAGAGGCGAGCGCCGTTTAAGAGAGGGGTTGGTTTTTTATTTTTAACAAAATTAGGGTTTCTTGTTTCTTTTATATCATGAGATAAATATTCCGGTTTAATAAAAATTCCGGTTCAATTAGATTTAGGTCTACCGCTTCGATCTACTCGAATTGTCTACCGATTTAGTCTACCACGAAATTACCGAAACGTCGATTCAATCTCAGCCGTCGGTTTGAAACTTCGGGATTCCCGCTAGGTTAAAACGGTTGGTAGACCTTCACTTCCGTCTACTCTATTAGTCTACTGTTAGGTCTACTTTACCCTAAACCCTATATCGAACAATTTAGATGCAATTTTGCAACGATTTGCTTGCCATATTGTCAATTTACAATGTATATTACAAATAAACGAACATTGAATCGTAAAACCAATCAAAAACAATTATTCATCTAAATTTTTTCAAAACCCTACAACTTACACCATTAAACCCTAAACAATCTACTCAAACTCTTATCCTTATGAACTATTTACATATGATATTTATAGATTCATGAGTTTTTATGAAATTTATTTTTAATATATGTTAAATGTCTATTATTTCGTTATTTGTGAAACAAATATTTCAAATTATTTTTTAAATTTTTCTTAATTTAAATTTAAGATTTGATGATTTAGTAGACCTACTTGGTAGACCTCTCATGGTTTTATAGGCTTTTAACCTAATTTGTTTTTTTTTCATAGTTCAGTTGGTTCAAATCTATGAAATTATATTTTAGATAGATGCAAGTTGTCTGTATTGTAATTATGTATAAATAATTTTCCTCAAAATATTTTTTTTTCAATTTTTATAATAAAAATTTAAATTTAATGATATAGTAGACTTACTCGGTAGACCTCAAACATTTTTATAGATATTAACCTATGTCTTTGCTTATCTATAAATGATTCATTTGTATGCATTTATATTTTTTGTAGATGATAATGTCTATATTAGAATTATTCATACTTGTTTTTGTATAAAAATATTTTTTATTGAATTATTAATTAAAATTTAAGATGTTATTATGAGGTAGACCTCTAACATTGTCTACCAGGTAGATCTACGGGTAGATCTACATGCCTGGAGGTTATAATCGTAATCGAGGCATGCGTTTTTTTGTTTGGTCATGAGGGCTTGTGGGGTAATTTTACTACCCAAAGAGGTTACTTTTGCATTTGATTCAAATTGTGGTCTAGTTGACTAGAAAAAATGAAATTGTGGTCTAGATTTGGCAATTTCCCTCTAATTAAATAACTCATAGACTTTTTCCTTTTAACTACATGCGAATAGGTAGAGTCATGTGTGCATTTGTACTTTATATACACATATATGCAATAAAATACAACCCTTACAATAACTTTTCAAAATTTTAAAAACAATCCTTAAACTCAATATGTCGTATGGTATTGTTGTTACCCGGGGACCTGCTCCCACCATTAGTAGCCGCCATAGGCCCATGACCGGGACCGTCCACGTTACTGAGACTTTCTAACATTACTTGTATCTCTATTTTAATTGTTTAAAATAAAATTCAAGCACATAACGACATTAGTGTTAGTTATCCAATTATATATGTCCAAAATTTAATCGATAAATGTATGGATCCCGCTATAACAACTTCCTCTCTAAATTACTATATTTTTTCAAGAAAAAATCTTACTCAGCTTTTGTTTCTTTTGATCTCTACCAATGCTTATAGTCTGTTCATTATGTTAGTGTAGATGTGGCGGTGCTAAAACTAACAAGGAAAACAACGTTGTTGGGAAGAAAAACTATTTCTTCACTCTCTACCATCGTTTCTTTTGTTTTTTTTAGCAAACTCTCTACCATCATCTTTATGTAGCTATTTTCTCGAATATTATAAAATCATCGAAAATCTCTTAGGACATTAAAAATGTATAGAATGTGGAATAGTGTGGAAGGATGTAGAGTTTATCACTAGATCCGATTATTTGTTACCATCCAATTTGGAGGTATATACTTGTATATAAAAGGATGAGATCTTTCATTTATAATCAACCAATCATTTTCAAAGTAATAGTGTTCTTACATTTCTCTAAGACATTCATGTCTTCTCTATAAAATCTACTTTTTCTCTCTCTCTAAGTACCAAAGATCGAGTTTAATGGGCCGAGATAGAGAGGTTTGCCTCACATGCTAGATTAACGAATAAGTATACTCTGTATGTGAGTATCTTAGCGATTAATCTGACAACATCACATTACTTTTGCAGTGAAACTTTTTTTTAAAAGGTCATAAAGATTTTTGTTTCTCTCCAATTGAAGATTAGTACATTGTAATAGAATATTTGACAGCTAAACTTGCATGCTAATCAATAAGACACTATGCCCACTATGCTAAATTGAAAAGAGAAGAAAAACTGAAAAGAATCTATCCACTGAAGAATTAAAAAAGTAAGGATAAATTAATGATTTTTTTTACCTAAATTTTAGTTCCATCGCGCGTTTATGAAGATCGAAATGTTCTCCCAGCGAAACTTAGTAAAGAAAGCAATAAAGTGATTTTTGTGTATGCATACGTTGTGTGAAGAAGATTTAAACTCCTATGCATTTTTACCAAACCATTTCCGAAAGAAAAAATATATTACTAACTTGCTTAATAATCACTATTTCTTTGTTATAACGGATGATAGAAACCTAAAAAATAAACGCAATCCCAAGAAAGATAAACAATTTCACTTAAAGCCATATACTAGTGTATCATCCGTTTAACTTCTATCTAAAGTTTCTGATGCACCGTGCGTAATGGTCACAAGCTTGTGTGATATTAAACCGTAAGGATCACGCAATCATAATGTTCCTGATTCTGTGTTACCTTTGGAAACTTTCCAATACAACAATTACGTGCCTTGGAAACGCATCATAGTATGAGGAGAAAGCCGGAAAGCAACAACTAAGCATGTATGTAAGGGATTCGTCAGGCCCTGTATTACAATTTTTTTCTTAATCTTTTCGGTCATTGGGCTCAATCCGTGTTCGGTCGAACCGTTCGTTGCATACATAAGTAACATAACCCAATGTGAATAAGACCAGGGACATGCCAAGTTATTAGGCTGTGTGGCATAAGATATGAAATTAGGTCCTAAAAGATGGTCCAATCAAATTTCATGACATTTTCTTCGGTTTTGGTTTTTCGGGTCTAATATTTTTTTCTTTTAAATTGTAAAACAAGGCCTATGTTTCTGAAAATTGAAAAAAAGTAGCCTAAAGAAAATTTAAATCACTATTCATATAGTGTTAATGCTTCTATGTGTATTATTTTATTATTTTTTTCTATATATACGATATAATAAATTGCATTTTAGACGTAGTTCTATATTAAACCTGAATATTTTTAGCTTTAAGTCTATTTAGATAAACCTAATTGATGTTTTTGAAAATGTACTCGTCTGGCTTACAACATTTAAAAATACTATATATATATGTATATTGGGAATATATCTGAAACAATATCCTCAACAAACATTTTCACAAGAAAAAATTCAACTATAATTAGTCAAACTGCTTTATTCCCTAACTATTGTTGATAAACCCGTTGTAGTCCTAATAGAAGTCAACACTTAATAACTCTTAACGTGATATTGAGACTAAATTGGTATGGTGTGCAAATGTTGTGGTGTTTTCACTTTTCTAGTAAATAAAAAAATTGAAACCATTTATGGGTCCAACTATTATAGCTATAGTTTGTTTCAAATGTTTCAAAGAACGGATCCTAGTATTTTGTCTTTCAATGGAACGGTCAGCATGATCAAGAAATTTAAGAGAAGAAAAGTTATATCCTATGTTGTTAATGCATTACAATAGATAAGATTTTCATTCTTTGAAAAAAAGTAAAAAACCGTTATGTAACTTGCTTTGTTGTTAATGACCAAGAAATGGAGAGAATAATGTTATATTCGATGTTGTTAATGCATTACAATAGATAAAACTTTTTTTTCTTTATAAAAATGAATTAGATTATACTATTCAATATTAATTTGCAGTAAGGTCAATATAACTTAGGGGTTGGTTTCTCCATTTTTACAAGGTGAGTGTTTAAAAACCCAAGAAGATAGTAGCTCAGAGTTTGTTTAATGTTTTTAGAATAGGTCAAGAGTTTTTCTACCCATTTTCCCAATTAAATCGGTATAGACTGGTTCAATCACGATTAAAGAAATTCTGATTTCTCACATATATTATTCAACCGGTTAAAGACTTACGTGAGATACATTATATTGAAAAATAAATACAACTTGATAGTCGTACTCGTAGCTATACATTTAATCAGACAAAATGCCACAATCAATGTTAAAGAACTGATTTTTCAACTTACGACTGGTCTAGTCAAAATAAAACGGTCTTAAGTCTGTGCACGGACTAGCGGAGAAGGCGGTACCGGCGAATGAGGTGAGAAGAAGCCATCTTCGAACCGTCTCGTGTCGTTAAAGCTTAACCGGAGGCTACTCTGCCAGCACTTCTTCTTCTTCTTAGCCATCATAGTTGTTGGAGCCACCGGTTTAGTCCGGTTCAGACTCTCCTCAAGTTGACTAGTGAACACTCTGATCCTCTCTAGAGCCGTCTCCATCGTCTTGTGGTCCATGTTCGCGAAACATACTCTAAACCATCCCGGTTCGTGGCAATGAAACGAGCCGCCTGGAGAAACGTTCAGCTTGACCTTGTGGACGATC